ATTCATTAATATTTAAATATACTGACAAAATTAAAAAGCTTGTAATTAATTATAATAAGCTTACATAATGTAAGATTTGTGGCATCTTTCAAAATCTTATCAAGTTTTAAAGTAATATTTGCAATTTCTGAATCTAATATAGGTCCAGATAATGTTGTCCTTCATGGTAGATTATATCCATAACAAAGAATCTTAGTAAAATCAGCAAGATATGGTAAATCAGCCGCTATAAATGGTATGCCTGAATACACAAACCAATGAAGAAGTGCTTGATTGGCTTGCTTTGCTCTAGCCTCATCAATCTTATCAAAATTAAAACATGCAGTTAATGGTCTTGTATGATTTGATTTTAATTTTTTTTTTGGATGCATATTTGAAATATCTGTTGATTTTTCCTGATTATTTTCATCACTTATTGCACGCAGGTACTTAATTCGAATATTATTTGAAACTTTTGAACATCTAACTGCCAAATAAGACTTTAAAGTAGTAGGTTTTCTACGCTTCAAACTTGTTTTACAAAATGTGCAAGTAGCACTATAATGTTTTTTCTTGGGACGCTTTGTTCTAATAAAATGTACCCAAACCTCATCTCTTAGATGGCCAACAATTCCATCATCAGTATCACTTGAACTATTTGATGATTCTTTATGATCACTATAGATATTTGTTATATTACTAACACTATGACTATCTGCTGTTGTTATACTATGACTATTTTCTGTTATTGCACTATGGATATCTTCTGTCATCGCACTATTATTTATAAATAAGTTAATTATCTTATATTAGTGTTTAATAAAATACATATAATAATTTATCTTGTTTGTTTGGATTTTGACATACTTGTTATTTTTAAGAACTATTTTTTTGCATTATAATAAAGCAAAACTTGCTTTTGAATTTTTTTTTATATTTATTAATCATCATGAGATGATACATAGAAATATTCTGCTTGAAATTTAAATATACAAGTATATAATACAGATGTATGTATATATATGTTGTGCCTCAGATGGATCCTTGCATCAGATGACGCCTGGCCCAAGTTAGGATTAGGGTTAGGGTGAAAATCACAGGGTAATTTAGGCCAATTATTGCAAATAATTTAATGCTGGTCATCTGGTAGTCATCTGACATGCGTTAGCTACAATCTGACGCAAGGATCCATCTGAGGCACAACATATATATTTATATATGTACATATATACAATTGATTATATATTATTTATTACATAATTTTGATTTGGGATTTGGGATAAGTTTATGATTTGGAACAATTTTGGGATTTGGAAAATATATAAAGAATAAATACTATTTGGGCATTTAAAAACTTATAATATTAAAATTCCAGATAGGTTTTAATCTATTTGGAATTTGGAATTTGGGATTAATCACTAATTTGGGCAGCAAGTATATCTGTGACTGTCAATTCTTATAAGTTATGTATTTACTATAATTAACATATTTAGCGATTTTGATCATGTAATGGTAACAAGCCACGTACTTTATGATTTATGTAACATGATGATTGTAATCATGTTTACATAGTGTTTATCTACCAACTAAGGGTGTTCTCAAGCACCTCACTCAATGGATCAGAACAAATTTTTAATAGTCAGAAATTGAATAAATTAACCAAGTAAGCTGCCATTGCGATAAACAGATTAGCGAGCTACAAACCATTGTTTTTTTTCAAAAATTTACTCTTGATGAAGGTTGCTTAAACATTACTTTTAATTTTTTACATATCAAACATAATAAACAATGAATTCTCAACAAATTTCTAACTGATATTAAAAAATAGCCACTTTATTTTTAATTCTTGAAGCTTTTAAAATAAATAATCAGTACCTTGATATGAATGTAAAATAAATACATCTTTTAACATTTAATCAAACCATAATAAATTCTACAATTTCATTTTTCGTTCAATAAAATTTAAATATTAAGATTCGCAAGAAAAAATTTTTTTTTATTTTTGTTGTAAAGCAACTTATACTAATGATTGATTCTGTTGCTGTTGTATTAAAAGTTTTGAATTGGTATAATCATTAAAAGGAGAAGCTGACACAGCCAAAGTTAAAATTTTAGCAAGCGATTAAGGTGTTTTAGGTGGCATAACACAGATCATGAAAAATAGAAAAAGAGTATGCTCAAGCATTTAATTTTATAAATCTCGTCATTGATCGTGATGCTTAAGCGTCATCATGTTGAGTAATACGAATAGTTGTGATGTATGGTTTAGCAAAGTAGTGGTGTATAATACGTTAAATCAGCAAACACATGTATATAGTTGATGAGATCACAACTTTGTATAGGGTAATATATTATGTATAGTATGCAAATGTATACAAAATTTATGCAAATGTATATAAAATTTATGCAACGTGACATTAAATTAAAATTAGACTTCGGGCCTTTAAAATTTATAATATCGAGTTGCAATTTTGAAGAATTTTAATAGGTTGAGTTTATAGTTTAAGAGCCTGAAGTTTAATATAGTCATTAAATAGCAAATGCAGGGATCATAATAATGATTTTTTTTTCTTTTAAAAAAAATAAATTGATAAATAAAATCATTTTTTATATTGGTTTTAAAATATTGTTCATAATAAAATGATGAGAATACCTTCGAACAATATTAGTTCTGATGAAGAATCTATACTATTGGCTAATAGCTTTTTTGAAGGAGACAATTTTTTTGAAGAAAATAACTCCTTTAATGAAAATTTTAATACTGATAAAAAGGAAAATTTGTTTGAGAGAACTAATTCTTTTAATGAAAATTTCAATAACAATGTAAATATCAATGAAAACTTCAATACCAATAGTATATTTGAGGAAGATAGATTTTTAGTAGATTTTTTTTCTCAGGAAACTTCCAGATCTTTACCCAAAATAGAAAGCTCAGAAATATTTCTCACAAAAACTTTAACTGCTAAAGAAGTAATTCATTTATTAACTTCAATCGAATATCTACCAACATGTGAAGAAGGAATTGCAATCATTTACCATATTGATAGATAGGAAAATGTGGATTCAGCATTTACAAATGTAAATATTTATTATAGTAATAATACATATATATGGTTAATTTATTTAATCAATACATTTATTTTTTAGATTCAGTATTCTATGGGAAGACCATGTGGTCAAAATCAAACAACTTGTTATTACTTTGGTAATATTGCTGTGACAAAAAAGGATAGAATATATCAAGAAGTTAAATTATGTAAATTCGCAAGCTTAGAACTTCAAGAAATGCAACATAATTTGGTAGATCCTGATTTTGATTTGCAATTAAAAATAAATGAAGTATTGACTAATAATGTAAAGAATAATACCTTTGCGTAAATTTATAAACCTTCAATCATATTATACATATAATTAAATAATTAATAATTTTTTATTATTTAGGGCATATTTGGCTGTATATAAAACAAAATGTCACTTTAAAAAACATAACATACAATGTAATGAAATACCTGTATTAAAATGCTTATGCCATTATGATAATATATCATTATCTTACTTTATTGGTTGCTTAAATTGGTATGATCAAGAAAAATTTTATCAGTTTATTAATATCAAAGAAGATGTTGATATTGATTTACTTCAGCAATTTTTGGATAGATCTTATAATATAAAAATTATTTTATTATTTATTTGAATTTATTTATTAATTATATATATATAATCATTTATTATAATTAGGGTGAATCTAATGAACCAGTAAATGAATATTTTACAGTTTTGCATAATAGCTCAAAAAAAACCTATTGCTGTAAGCTATCAAATATTTAACAATTTGTATAATAATATATATCATATAATTTATAATTTATATAATTTTACACTTTAGTACATCATATCATACGGGCAACATTATTAAAGAAGAAATGATAATTTGAAAAATATACAATTTTAAATACTATATATTAATACCACACGATAATAAATAATGCCCATATATGATCCTTTTATCTAAAGGCATTCATTAGCATCCGCTCTCATCACCAAATCGAGTACCACTTACTATATGAACATGTTTACAAGAATTAATCTGCCAAGCTGATAATAATACAACTGATATTATACCAATATAGATTTTAACAAGTATATACTGTATGTAGATTATACAAAAATTTTTAACAAAACTAATTTTATAATTATATTTTATTTTAGAAAATTTAATTAAAACCTATTTTGGAACTAAATATCTTGCAAATATATACACTTCTTTAAATAATACTAACCATCTTCGATACTACATAGACAAATTACAAAAAGAACTCCATTCACAAAGACAAAGACTTCTTGGTATTATTTACAATTATTTATGCAATCTTAATAATATTTGTGATTATATAAAATGACTAGGTAATTTTAAGAAGTAAATCATAGTTCAAGTATAAAAAATAATAAATTTGCTAGTAAAAATTATGAGCTAATATGGCTCACCTATACTGTTAAAATGCAACAACTTTATTAAAAGCTTTTTTAAAAGTAACTTCTAGTACAATTTATTCTAGTTTAATAGTAGTAAAGTTAATGTATACAAAACTTAACCAATCATGATATCATATAGCTATTTTGATAATTTTTGCATATTTAATTTTAGTAATATTGAATTTTCATAATTTCAGTAGTTTCTGAATGCTTGCGATTCCAATTTGGCTCAAAAATCATGATACTGCCAAATTTTTGTGCCATTTTGGTTCTTTTGTATTTATTTAGTAAATTACAAATTATTAGTATTAGTATTTGTATTTATAGAATTTTATTATTGTCAACTGTGGTATATTACTTGAATCATCTATTATATCTCAATATTAATATCCTTAAATATTTTAATTATTTAACATTTTTTTGAAATTTTTTGAAGACAATCATGTGATGATAATTTGTACAACTCGTGAACAACTTTTAGAATAGTTAAAGTGTAAACATTTTCAAATCGACCTATCTTTTAAATAAGTAACTGATGAAATTAATGCATAATTTGAGTAAGCTAATTGTTATAATTATATATATATATTTGTAGTATTTTTAAATCATTAATATATATTTGTTTTTAAGTTCTTATTTATACTAGGATTTTTACAAATAAAGCAACGACAGTTGCATATCAGAGAATTTTTCGGGTATTGTTCAATCTTGTATTACAGCTAACCAGTTCATCTCCTCAATTTAAATATATACACAGAATTGGCTAGAATTGTATTATTGCCAATTTAGATTATACACAAGCACAAGGTCTTGGGTTAGTTCTAAATAAAATTGATCAAACAAAAAACTGGGAAGAATACTTAATTTATATTTTTAAATTCTGTCAAGTGCATTATAAAAGGTAAATATATAATTTATAATTTATTTGTTTATTTATTTATTTCTTACTATATATTATTATTTTACTTTTATTTCTAAAGAAAAATTTTAGAAAAACAATATGATAATGCCTTAAGTAATGATATACTTGCACTGCTTATGGCTAAATCAGAGAATAAAATCAATCAATTATTTGATAAAATTGAAAAAATTGACAAAATGGCAGGTTAGTATTTTATATATATATATGAAGTGTTAAATATATATGTATCAGCATATAGTTACATAATCATTATATATATGTATTAGATTAGGTTTCATTTTATCATCAAAATAGGTTATAGTATCACTTAACAAATGCATATCATAGATTGATAAAGAAACTTGGATATTATTAGCTAGTAATACAAATATTGCAGAA